AAAGAAACATGTAATTGGGTAGGATAATAATAATAATAATAATAATAATAATAATAATAATAATAATATTTAAAAAAACATGTACAAGATGGGTATGTATACTTGTACCCAGAATTTAACAACTATAAAGTTGTAGCATGCCAGACCATCTTGATTGAATGCAACTTTGCTCCACACAAGTTTTATGGTAGACATATTCATATTGTTATCTAATAAATGATTAATTCTTAGATTTTATTGAACGTTAATTTATAAATTGTTTCTGTCTTTATGTGTTTGTTTCAGAATATGCAAGATGAAATTATATAGGTATATGTATATATATATATGTATGTGTGTGTGTGTGTATATGTATATGAAAGAATATGATTTTGTTTCTTGCAACTTCTTGCAGAGAACAGAGTCAAGGTGGCCAGGGTACCAGCTTGGTCAACCCTGAAAGACCATCCCTTCAGCAAGAAATGACCAGGTGAAAAAGTCATAAACTAAACACTCTGCATGAGCATGGAATTTAGGATGCAACTTTATATCTTACCTGCTCTACACTCAGGGCTTGAATTACAACAACAGTCAATCACATAAAAAAATACTTTTGGTAGTTCTGAGTCTGTCACGGATCTGGCTCGGTTCGACCCAGTATTTTGAGTTCTGATGTTTTGGTTTATTTTTGAATGTTTGTGTTTTTCGGGTGCTATTATTATTGTTGTTATTATTGTTGTTGTTATTATTATTATTATTATTATATTTCCATGTTTCTGTGTTTACTGCAGTGTTAGTGCTGTGTTGACTTTGTATAAACAAACTAAAAAAGCAATTCATAATAGTCGCTTTTAAATAATTTTGTTAAAATCTTTGTGACAAGAGGAAAGGGAAAAAGGCGATTCCCTGCTACATCTCTGGTGCCTGCTAAGAAGCCTAAACCTCTTGAAGTGGTATTTTATTTGCTCCCAAAACAAATGGAGAAGACCCCAACAGAACATGGAAATATATCCACACACAGGCAGGGATGGGTCAAAGAACAGCACATCTTGATGAGAGCACAACACATGAAGAGGTATAAACTTATTCTTTTTATTCACTGATCAAAACTGAGAAGTTTTTGCTTAATAAAAGTGTTATTGAAGGTGACCATCACTGCAAGTCACAGGTGGCATTTACAAAAAATAATATTATTATTGGATATTCATCGTTAATCATGAAAATGGAACTGTAAAGTTTGGATTGAAAAAGATTTTTTTTATTATATCCAGTTTGCACTGTAAATGCATGGTTCTTTTACCGTTTCTTAGTTTATACAGGGGTATAATTAATGTTAAATGTGTAATTTCTTTAGACTCAGAGATTGTATTTGTATTATTGCTTTCAGTTAAGGGATGCCCTGAATGATTTGTTTCCCAAACTGAAGGAGGTAACAGGTGGCTGGCTGCTGTTCAAACCTGGGGGTGAGTATGAATTCTGCACTATGTAATTAAACTAGAAACTGATGCTGCTGTTTAATCAGTACTTTTAGGACTGTTTCACCGCATGTTGTGAATTCCTAATTCTGAGTAGTTTTGAAGATACTTTTTTTTTTTTACTTTTCTTGAGGCATTGGATATATTTCATGATCAGAATAATCTGCTGCAATTTGCTTTTATACAGGTGTTGGGGAAGCCGAAAACTCTCTCTGGTTCCTCCAGCTGATATTGGCTATACAGGGACAATCCTAAAGGTTGCCAGTCGTGGGGGTAAAAACGTATATATTGCTCCTATTCAAGAGGAACTTAGCAATGACCCTGTACCGCTAAGCGATGAGTCCTTCAGATGCATGCCAAAAGCAAAATGCCAGAAGTGTGGCATAGGTGTTCCACTGCAGCTTCTGTGAGAACACCTAAAATCCTGTCCTCCTTTGGAAAATTCCCAGTGAAAGTACTGTGGTGAATTTAGATGGTGATGAACCTACAGAAAAGGAATGTAGGTTTTTTGACAATTTCATACTAACATATTACCCAAAAGCATAAAGTGTTAAGAGCTAGCTAGAAGGAAAAATTAAATGTTATAAAAAT